CTGCAAGCCAGGGAGAGAGCCCTCACCAGGGAACCAAATCAGCTGGCAGTTTGATCTTGGACTTCTCAGCCTCTCAAACTGTGAGAAAGAAATTCCTCATGTTTAAGCCATCCAGTCTGTGGTATTTTGTTATGGAAGCCTAAGTTAAGATAGCTGGTTCACCGGGGAATCCACTGGCATGAACCTGTGAAAAGTTTATGACACGTCAAGTAGTTTGCTGCTCCTGGATTTGAGTATTGGCAAGAACTATTAGAGTGGTGAGCACAGAGGGAAGAAGGGTACAGAGAATAAGGTATTCATCATTGTATCGTTGTACTGAAGAAATAAAGGGACATTACATGGTTTTAGGCTGAAGTTATGTGCAGATTTCAGCTGTGGAAGGGTCACTTAGCATACAGTGTGGCAAGTGAGTGGTGCGTACTACACTGGCTGTAGGGAGTCCAGTTTTGTTTGTTTGTTTTTCTTTTTGTTTTTTGAGACGGAGTCTTGCTCTTTCACTCAGGCTGGAGTGCAATGGTGTGATCTCGGTTCACTGCAACCTTCGCCTCCCGGGTTCAGGTAATTCTCCTGCCTCAGCCTCCCAAGTAGCTGGGAATACAGGCGGGTGCCCCCACGCCCAGCTAATTTTTTTTTTTTTTGTAGTTTTAGTAGAGACGGGGTTTCACCGTGTTAGTCAGAATGGTCTCAATCTCCTGACCTCATGATCTGCCTGCCTTGGCCTCCCAAAGTTCTGGGGTTACAGGCATGAGCCACTGCACCTGGCCAGGAGTCCAGTTTTTTTTTGTCTGCTTATGTTAATGGACGCAAGAGCTGATAGATGGAAAAGTGTGGTAATAAAGTGGCAGTAAGCTTGTGGAGTATTCAATAAACCTAAACACTATTTTTTTGAATTGAACTGAAATTGTTGTGTTGTGAAAACGAGAGTTTATCCAAAGAAAGATCTGGCTTGGCAAACAGGATGGATGGTGGCGAGGATAAGTGTGCTAGGCAGGGCTAGAAACAGGTTTTAGTGATCACTGAAACACCCAGGACAGTGCACTACTCTTTGGGAGATGCTGTACTTGGGTCTGATCACTGGGTTTTGAGATAGACGATGGTACATGATGCTGACAGGGAACTCACTGGTGTGTTGAGTTTTAGCATCTGTGACTCTGAGATGCATATGAGGCCTTTGCAAATTTAGAATTTGAGAGTAGAAAGTACAGGTTTGTATTTTAGAAGGTGATTTGGGAATAAATGTAGCTCTGGTTGATATAGATAATATGTGAAGGTTTGTTGGCCAGAGCTGATGTGTGTCTTGGGTGTTGGGCAAAGAACAGAGAACGGTCAAAGCTCTTCCAGGTCAATGTGAAGGGTGATTTCCTTCTTGGGCTCAAGTTTATGACTCAGCCTAGACCTAGCTTGGCCTCTCAGCTAGAGAAGAAGCATGATTCCATGTCACACACAGCTTCTGTCTGAAAAAGTCATAATGACTCCCAGACCCAACATGTGGGGCAAACTCTGGATTTTTCTCTTCAGTTTACTCTCTCCAGGGAAAATTGAGGAAAGAAATCTCTCTACTATTTGAACTTCATCAAAAGACTAATATGTTAATATTTTGACTGTCAATATTTCCTTAAACTAGTCTACTCCTTACATAGCTAATACATCAAAGCATGTTAACTTAGGAAATTGGATTCTCCATAACAATGAAATATTGACTGCAAGCATTATTAATCTTTTTATATCACATTTCCTTCAAGTGCTTTATACATCTTCAAGCAGACAAATAACAGTATTATAATGATCACAAGACCGATCATTACTCTTCTGCCAAAAAAACAGCGACAAAAACTAACTCAGTATACCAACTTTTGTTTCTTCATTATCTCTACTTTGATTCTGTCCTTTTATTTCCTCTTTCCTCTAATTCTAATTTTGCTTCTGCTTCTTATTTCCTCCCTGAATTAGAACTTTACTTACCTAAACTACCAGTTAGGTTACCTTCTCAGAACCACTAAGGCAGCAGTTTGAGGTTGACAGTTGAAGATTTAGGATTAGAGAAAAGAAACATGAATGAATTTCTGATGTTTTATTATAGGGGTTTGTAATGCAGGTAGAAAGACCTTTTTCAGAGTTAAGAGTTTGATCCGACAAATGAGCTATTTTGATATTTATAACATTGTCTAGTAAAAGTTTCCTGTAAAAACATTTGCTTTGGATGTCTTTGTTAGCTTTTAGTCGACACTTGAAAAAGCCGCTTGCAAGTTTCTAAGTCTTCCTGGATACTCTTTTCAGCTATCTTCCAGGAAGCTGGTACAGGGAGGCATTGGTGATTCAGTGGTAGAATTCTCACCTCCCACAGGAAGCTGGTACAGGAAGGCATTGGTGGTTCAGTGGTAGAATTCTCGCCTCCCACGCGGGAGACCCGGGTTCGATTCCCGGCCAATGCAAGAGGTTTTTGTTCTTCTCCACAGTTCTTTACCCAGAAGCTCCCAGAAGGAGAGGAGCTGCAGGCGGGGTAGTCACGTCAGAGGTCCAAGAGGCCTCCATGGCCCAAAGAAAGGGGAGGTGTGTGGGGAGGAATCTGCGTAGAGATGAAGGGAGCAGCGGAGACTGCTCCTTGCGCGGGGGTGGCCAGTGGACCCTCCGGGCTGTACCCCAGACACTGTGAACCGAATTTGCTAAAATCGTCAGCCACCTTGGCCCCTGCGTGTTTTGTGGGCCTATCGGTGTTCCGCGAGGGATTCCGTGTGTCTGGCAATGTGCGTCAACAGGTGTTGGCCTGAAATTTGGCCGGATACGGTGGCTCACACCTGTAATCCCAGAACTTTGTGAGGCCGAGGCGGATGGATAGCTTCAGGACAAGAGTTCAAGACCAGCCTGTCTAACATGGTGAAATCCCGTCTCTACTAAAAATACAAAAATTAGCCGATTGTGGTGGCATGCACCTGCTATTCCAGCTACTTGGGAGGCTGACGCAGAAGAATCGCTTGAACCCAGGAGGCGGAGGTTGCAGTGAGCCACTGCACTCCAGCGAGTCCGTCAAAAAAAAAAAAAAAAAAAAAGGAGTGAAAGAAGGCAGAAGTGTTTATGGGACAAGGAGACTTCCCAGGAGGCTTGGTGTAGAGGCAGGGGCCGGATCCTGAGAGATGAGATTTTTTTTTTTTAATTATGTAGCAGAATGGGGAGAGAGAAACAGAGAAGCGCATGAAAGAGAGAAAAGCACGAAAATCTCCAGATGTTCAAGAATAAAGCAGAGAAAGTAGTATGAGTGTTTTTACATTAAAAGGATAAGAAGTACAATGGTTGTCAGCAGGCCTTGTGGTCGTGTAGTGGTTAATACCTGTAGTTGTGGTTCCCACAACCTGGGTTCAAATCTGAGTCACAGCAATGTTTTCTATCTTGCGATTGTAGCTAATAGACCTGTCATTTGCTTTGCCTTTAATCCTAGCAGCCTCCAGAGAGCAGAGTAAACCACTGGCCTGGAAGGGCTCCAGCTTCTGGAGTTTAGCCCACTGTGCATAAACTACGGGGGGCGGCCTGACCACAAGGAAAACTTGGACATGCCCTTTGTCTCACAATTGAGCAGAAAAAATTCCCATAGGTGAAGATGCCACCTCTCAAGAGCCCTTTGTCTGTAGCTTCCACTGATGAAATAATGTGGTTATAGTATTTTCTGGTAGAGAAAACAGCTGTATCAGTGGGATTTTTAAAAACACAAAACGAGAACGAGCTTTTAATGAGTTTACAATAAAATCTAAACTACTTGTCATAATCTACACCGGCTTGCCTCCATTCCGCATCCACTAATTTTTATGAGAACAGTAAATTACTACTATTATTATTATTTTTGAGACGTCGTCTTGTTCTGTCACCCGGGCTGGAGTGCCACGGCTCAATCTCGGCTCACTGCAACCTCCGTCTCCCGGGTTCAAGCAATGGGAACAGTAAATAAACTACAGTTCACATAAAGTGCACAAATTTTTAGTGCAATTTGTTTAATTTTGATAAATGTAATCACCACCCAGCTCAAGTTTTAGAAAATTGCCATCATCTGAGAAATGCCTGTTAGAGCCCCTTTCCAGGCAATTCCCACCCTGTGTCCTCTTAGTTAATCGCCATTCTGATGTCTATTCCCATAGGTTACAATTGCCTGTTCTTAACGTTCTCATGAGTAAATGGACATATCTTTTGTGTCTGGCCTTTTTTCTGCAGTTATGTTCATTATACTCATGAGATACATCCACGTAGTTTCATGGATGACTTCTCAATTGTGGTGTTACTGAATTCTTGTGATGAATATTCTTGTAACAGTCTTTTTGTGCACTTGAGATTCATGGAAGTACTTCAGTTGCTGGGTCATGACCTGAGTATAAGTTTAACATTAGTACAAATTGCCAGTCTTCTAGAATGTTTTTTCACCAGCAGTGACAGTTGAAGTGGCACCAAATTCTTGTCAGCATTTGATGTGCTAACTTTGTTAAATGTAGCTGTGCTCTCAGACCAGTCTGACCAACATGGTGACACCCCGTCTCTACTAAAAGTACAAAAATTAGCTGGGCATGGTGGCATGCACCTGTAGTCCCAGCTACTCAGGAGGGGGAGGTTGCAGAGAGCCAAGATCGCACCGTTGCACTCCAGCTTGGGTGACAGACTGAGACCCTGTCTCAGAAAAAAAAAAAATAAAATAAAGTACCCATACACTGGTAAGTGGTTAGTGGTGTCTCCGTGTGGAATTAATTTGTACTTGCCTAATGAACAATACTATGAAGCATATTTTCTTATGGCTTCCAGCATATAAGAAATTTTCCTTTGCAAAGGCCTATTCGAATATTTTGCCTGATTTTATTTGGCTTAGCTCTATATTACTGATTTATGAAATTTCTCTTATATATTCAGGAATTCAGTCATTTTTCAAATAAATATATTGCAAAGGACTTTTCCCAGTCAGTGACTTGACTGACAACTGAAAGCTGTCAAGTGAAAAATCACACAATTTATAAATTTAGAAAGGAGATTTTATTTTTTATAAAGGGTTACAGCCTGCAAGGCGGCCATTCTGACAGACTGGGAGGCATACCCTCCTGCTGAAACCTGAAAAATAGGTTTCCAGGGAGGGGAGGGGAGAATAGGGATTTATGTTGATCTGGTTGGCCACATATATTCAACAGGGAATAGGAGGAGCTCTGAATATTCATGAAGGGATCCTGCTGCATGCATGCTGAGTAAACATGCCTGTCACATGCAACCCATGTTCACTTTGGGGTGGAGACAACATTTAAATACATTATAGTTAGGCCTTATGCTTCAAAAGGTGAAACAGAGACACAAAGGCAATCAAGTGCACAGCCTCTGTAAACTGTCCAGAACTAGTCCACAGCCAGTGGTCTCTTATCAGGAGAAAGTTACTGAAATCAGTCTCTTGTCCAATCAAAGCTGTAGTTATGGCTTGTGTAGGGAGGGCTCAGTCAGTTTATGGTAATGGGTGAGCTGCAAGTGCTTCAGCATTGCTTATCTCAAGGCCAGTGCTTGCTTAGCTACAGAAAAAAAGAAAGAAGAAAAAAAAACCTGGCAGTTAGAACATAGTTTATTTTTTAAGTTGAGGGGTGCATGACTTAACCTTGCCTGGCATAGCCTTAGGTCTTGTTTATAATATAGTATCTTACTATGGTAAGGAGTCTGTTCTGTCAGTCTTATGATCTCTATTTTAACAATAATGCTGATCAGTTACGTCTAAACCACAAAAGGGAGAGAGAAGGTCAGACGGGTGTCTGATCTTCCAAATACTGGTCAGGAACTCAGTATTTAAGACTTCTCTGGGATCTCCTTAGCCAAGATGAGGTCTGTCCAGTTGGTTGGATGGCTTTGGATTTTAATTTTAGTTCTCAAAGCATTTAATTTGATGAGATTTTTTCTTTATTTTTAAAGCCTGTTATGTTCTATAGGAAATCTTTCTGCTCAGGATAGTGAATGTATTCTTTTAATTTTATCTCTCTATAAGTTCCACAGTTTTACTTTTAATTTTTAAAATGATGACATCTAAAATTCTACTCCTAACCAAGACATTCTTGGGGGTTACCAAGGACAACTCCAAAAATCTTCCATAAGTGGTCAAAGAACTTACTGGGATCCTGGGCTGCAGGGCACAGTGGCTTTAGTGCACCTCTGCTTTTAAGACTATTCAGAAATTGCGTTTGTGAACCCATCAGGCTGTTTAAACATCAGCAACTTAGGGCTTGCACACAACATGCAGTTATGCAGCAGCTGGTTTCTGGATCTCGTGAATGCCTACATGCATACATCCCCGGGAATTTTCTAAATTTGATCTCTTATGGTATTTCAAGTGGCTTAGTTGTCTCTTTCTTTTGCCTGCTGCCACACACATACCACCAAATCCTGCACTCCAAGCTTTTCCTTCTGCACCCTGGACTCCCAACCTCCAGTTAGACAATCCACATCTTCCCACAACTGCCTCAGGATCCTCCAGGTCACTGTGCCTCCTGCAGCAACCAGGCCAGGGGATATCTGGATTCCTATTACACTTCTGAGGAAGGTGGTTAGGGGGCGTGGAGGATGTGTGTGGGAGGGGTTGCGGTTGAGGGCAGGAGTATACTGTGGTCTTCTGTCTTCTACCTCATTGGCCCAGGTGCTGCTCTCCCTCCGGTTGTCTGCTTTCAGCCCTGTGTGGGAAATCAAGTCTGTGCCCTGATCTTCCTGACTCTCATTTTGTGAGTAACCTGAACGGATGAGCCATCGCTCTTGTCCCACACATTCTGTTCAAAAGGTGCCCTCCTCTCTACTTGCTCGGGGGCCTACCCACTGAGCTGTGGCACTCAGGCTGGGATGCCACCCAGTACAGAGGCTCTGCAGCCGTGCAGGGGTCTGACTGTTCCACACCAGCAGGATACAAGCCACAGGGCATGCTGTGGTGGAAAAGCATTCAGAGGTGTGGGCTGAAGGCCTCTCTTTCCACAGTCCCTTTGAAGACCCCATGGAAGTAGGCACCCCTTTGAGGAACAAGGTGGCCCAAGACCAAGCTTCACATGAAGGCGCTCGGGTCCCAGTAGGTCCTGTCTGTGCCTTGTATAGCCGACTGCTTCATGCATCTTACCCGGTTTCCCCTCTTCCACTACCCAAGCTCCTCCTCGACCCCCTTGCTCAGCTATCCTTAGGACAGCAAGATCCCCAGCACTTGGAAAAGCCCCAACTCCAGTGCTTGGGGAGGGAGTTGGTTTCAAGTCGTCTAACCACAGAAGAATACAGAACCTGAGGCAGGAGGGAATCCCTTCCCTTGCTGGGTCTCTTGGCACAGCCCATCCAGGGGTCTGGGTCAGGGTCCAGGTATCCTCTACCCTCCTTGAGGACCTGAGTTTTCAGGCCCCCCGGGTTGGTCAGCGTGGAGTCTTTCCCACTGTTCATCTGGGAACTGTAGGAATATCCCATGGGGCCCTCTCTTACTTATTAGAGACACCCGGGAAATACTCCAGCAGAAACTGGGTGCAGTGTACCAGATCACAGTAATAATAATTACAGGATTAGGCTAATCTTTGCCTACCAACAAGTCAAAAAGTATCCTTGAAAATCTTTGCCTACCAACAAGTCACAAAGTATCCTTGAAATGCTTTATATCTTTAACTTTTAAGTTTTGGTCTATAATGCGTCTCAAGTTACTTTTGTGTGTAGAGTGAGGGAGAATAACATCATTGGCCTCCCCTACCTCCATATGAAAGTCCATTAATTGAAACGGTTTGTTTTCTTCTATTGAACTGCTTTCATTGAAAACCCATTTATTGACTGTATAGCTATGGATCAGTTTCAGGTCTCTTAACTCAGTCCATTTATCTACTTGTCACTCCTGATGCCTTGTCTATAATAGCTTATGGTCAGCCTTAAAGTCAGATAGTACAAGTCTTTGTTCTTTTTCACACATTGCAATCAATTTTGAAATAGGTAATAACTCATAAAACCATCACACACATCAGGACATGCTGTCACTTCATTCCTTTCTGATATGGTTTGGCTGTGCCCTCACCCAAATCTCAACTTGAATTGTATCTCCCAGAATCCCCATGTGTTGTGGGAGGGACCTAGGAGGAGGTAATTGAATCATGGGGGTGAGTCTTTCCCATGCTATTCTCCTCATAGTGAATAAGTCTCACTATCTGATGGGTTTATCAGGAGTTTCTGCTTTTGCTTCTCCCTCATTTTCTCTTGCTGCTGCCATGTAAGAAGTGCCTTTTGCCTCCCACTATGATTCTGAGGCATCCCCAGCCATGTGGAAATGTAAGTCCAATTAAACCTCTTTTTCTTCCCAGACTCTGGCATGTTTTTGTCAGCAGCGTGAAAACCGACAATACACTCTCATTTCAGAGTCAGACACATGCTCTCACTCACTAGACTGGTTGCTGACTTGTGACCGAAGATTCTGTATTGTACCCTCTGGGGACAATACATCTCCATTTGTCTGCGGGGAGGATGAACATGCAAAAAATCCACAACACTCAGCACAGAGTCTGGATTTAGTCCCATTAGTCTGAATGGGACTAATGCCCTTATAAAAGGGACCCCGGGGAGCTCTCTCGCCCTCTTTCTGCCCCCTGAGGATACAATGAGAAGGTGGCAGTGTACAGCCAGAAAAAAGAAAGTCCCTCACCATAACCCTACCATGTTGGCACCTTGATCTCGGACTTCCAACCTCCAGAACTGTGAGAAATAAATTTCTGTTGTGAATTAGCCACCCAGTTTATGGTACGTTATAGAAACCCGAACTAAGACAGAGATGGAATCCCATGGAGGGTCTCTAATTTGCTAAGCTGGTCATCAGGTGGGATGTTGTAAGTTAAAAACAGGAAGAGCTGACATTTTGTGCATATGAAAGAAGACAGTGGACAGGCCCATTGTCTTCGGCTTTGTCCGCCTCGGCAAACTGGAGACGGAAAGTCGATTCACCTTCTCCAGCCACGGGAGGACCGGGAGGACCTCCAGAGGAGGTTAGGTCGACTTCATGGTAACTTTAGATCCTGAAACCTCACAGGATTTTTCTTGTCTTCCCTTTGATCTCTTTTCCGCCTACCCAACAGGACAGGACTTGCAGCCTTTCTTTCGCGTCAGCAAGGGATCCCTTCTGGACAGGACCGAAGTGAGCAGCTGGTTTCCCCTACGCTTCCTTCCGGGCCTGGGCGTCACAATAGCTCAGGCTGACCTGAGACCTAACTCCCGGCGAGTGGGACCAGCAGGAGCCTGGAAGAATGCTCGCACCGGGGTGGAGATTGGGCGCTGGGGTTTGCGAACCGCAGTCAAACCCTCTTCCCTGAGCACCGCGCACCTGCCCCCGGGGGTGCTGAAGGAAGTGGCCCATAAAGCTTCTCTGCAACCGAAAGAAGCCTGAAGCTCCAGGAGGGGCGAGAGGAGACTCGTTGAGCGAACCCAGCCCTTTGCCTGGCTGGTCCTGGTCAACAGGCTCGGAAGAGGCCGATTTGGAGGACCTAAAGGTTTAGAATCTCATGATGTCAAGATGTTAAAGCCTAAATCCTAAGTTCTGACTGTGAGGGGGAGCGAGGGTGTCTTGAGCTGGATCGACCCTTGAGTCTTCACCTGGAGGGTCCTCTGCACAAGTTCAGAGAGCAGGACAACGCGCAGCAATGGTTCCCCACAGGGGGCAACTACACTCTCACACGCCTGTCCCATCCCCGCTGGGACACTAGGCCACGACTGGGGGAAGCGGGAGGGAGAATGTTAACCCCCTGGCATGTATCTAGTCAGCGGAGGCGACGGATGTTGCTAAACACCTTACAATCCACCGCGGGAGGGCCCCTCCCCCACCCCGAAGTAGCAATTCTGCGGAGGTGGAGAAACTCGGTTGTAGATCAATGCCCACGCACTTGCCCGATGGTAAATCACGAGTTGGTGACCAATTGGATTTTGGATCTGAGGAAAAAACTCCAGCGTCAGAGGGAACTCTGGAAGTTTTGCCCGGAGCAAACGGAAGGGTGGCGTTGCCATCGCCTAAAATGGGAAAATGGCAGGTGTCACAGGTTGCAGGGGAAGGTGGGAGACCAGGTGAGGGCCCCGGATCCTTCCCGGAAAGAGTTTCCCATGCAGCCCGTCTCGGTTTCCGCATCCGTCTGATTCCTTATGATGTTGAGGGTGCCGGGGTCTGGGTCCTTTATGATGCAGAGGGTATCCCCGTCTCACCCCGGGCCCCTCCCCGCTCCCGCCTCCTCCTGGCAACCTGGTGCGCGGCTCCGGCCCTGGCGACCCGCGACCGTCTCGTCATTCGCTGCCGCCTCGCAAAGGCGCATCTCTAGGCCAGTGGTGAGCTGCGGCCGGGTTGCTGCAACTCGCTCCAGGACTCGGGACTCGTGGCCTTGGTGTCCCTCGCGGAGCCCTGGGTGTGTCGCCTGCGGGCTCTTTGAAGAAAGTAGGGAGGGAAAAGCCTTGTGAGACGACTCCAGAAGCAAAGAGCAACCCTTACAAGGCCCACGTCCTCCCAGAGCACAGGGGAACTGTCGCCTCAGACGGAAGAAGGAAGAGAAAGCAGCCTCGTGTGTCTCCCTGGTGGTCTAGTGGCTAGGATTCGGCGCTTTCACCGCCGCGGCCCGGGTTCGATTCCCGGTCAGGGAATTGTTTTGCATTGGTCGCACTCCCACAGGAATCTTTCTTTACTACGCTGTCAGCCAGCCTGCTCCAAGGGCCAGATGCAGAACAGTCTCCGCAGCGAGGGGCAAACCCCAGCGAAGAAGGGCGAGTCCTGGTGGACCAGCTCTCACGTTTATCTCCGTGTCTGTCATCCGCTGAAGAGGTTTTAGAGAGCGCCTGAGCGTCTCGCTCAGGTGTACACAGCCGTGCAGAGGTGCCAGCCCCCGTGAAGTTGTACCCAATAAGGCCATCCTCTTTGCCGTCGCCGCCCCGGAGGCACCTATGGGGCTGAGCTGTGAATAACTGAGAGGCCAAACCAAGTCGTGTTGTTTGTGCGTGCCCTGGACATGGGCACGGGCCAGTCAGCTGAGCCTCCTCACCTCCCTTCGCAGCTAACGTGCTCGTTAGGCCGTCGGAAGAGGTGACTGGAGGCGATGCCGCGAAGTTGGGAGTTGGGTGAGCGGCAGGTGAGGTCCTGGAGGGCGGTGCCGTTTGCTGATTGAGCGGCAGAGGGAGGCGATGTTCCCTGAGCCAACAAAGACAGCAGGTGGAGTAGGCACAAATGGAAAACTGTTGCGGGTGCCCTAAGCGGAAGGCAGGTGTAAAAATCAGCACTAGGACGTGGAAGCGATGGTACCACAGTCAAATCCCACAGTGTCTACACTCCACCAAGCACTTGCGCACGCTCCCCCTTTTCCATTCAGTACTCCCAAGAGGGGTTTGGAAAAACCCCGCATCCACTGTAAGCTCAGGGGAGAGCGGGAGCCAGGGAGGTGAAGTGCACAAACTGGGCAGAGGCGGCAGGCAGAACCTTGGGGGTGACAGGGCGCGGTGGCTGTGGGGCGGGAGCCGCTGCTGAAAGGCGGCCTGGGTTGTGGTGTGGGGTGACTGTCGGTGGAATCTTTGGCGGAGAGTGGTTTGGAAGAATGGCGAGGGGAGGCAGTGGGGAGGGTGACCCTGAGCGTTCGGCCAGGGCGAGGAGGCTGTGCTGTCCCTGCAGGGCATGCGCTCAATCCCACTTACCTGGCAGAGTAGAGACCGTGGTGACGAAGGGGGTTCTCCCAGAGTGAAGGTTCTTCATCGCACTCTGGAGTTGCTGATCCCTGTGATTTCCTCAATGTGGGAAACGGTGTTTGTGCTAGAAGAGGGCTGCCCTCTTTACCTAACATAACGGGGTTCAAGACTGACATCGCCTCACGCCTACCCAAAAACGTTTACGTGGCTTCCTCCTCTCTCTTTTTTTTCTGTTCTAAAGTCGCCTCATCCTCACATTCCCTCATTTTTTTCTTCCACACTCGAGAGAGTCTCTCTCTCTCATTAAAAGCTCCACCAAATATTTGAAATATCTCAACCAGAAAGACTCCAATAAATACCTTATTTCATTCGTGGAAGCTACAGACCAGCTAGGTTGAGAGTTGCTTGATATTTTCTGCTAAACGGTGAGGCATAGAGCACTTCGAAGGTTTCTCTTTGGGCCTTTGTTTGTGTGCTGTTGGGTTTCCTTCTTTTCCCCAGACAGTATGGCGCTGTGGGGCCAGCGGTAAACCCTACTTTCTGGCTTTCTGGCTGCAGATAAAGGCCGCAACTGGTGCAGGAATGAAAAGCAAACCAAAAGACACACGGGTTCGCCCCAGTGGGCCCAAGATAAAGTCTGACTGTACCAGGATTCGGATTAGAACAGACGTTGCTGCAGGCACAAGGCAGGGTACTAACCACTATAGAATCCCAACTGCCCATCGTTTTGCTTCCCCACCCCTCTTATTTATTTATGCATTTTCTTGAGAGACAGAATTTTGCTTCGTCGCCCAGGCTGGAGGGCACTGGCGCGATCTCGGCTCACTGCTACCTCCGCCTCTCAGGTTCAAGCGATTCTCCTGCCTCAGCCTCCCGAGTAGCTGGGACTACAAACCTGCGCCACCACACTCGGCTAATTTTTGTATTTTTAGTAGAGACGGGCTTTCACCATGTTGGCTGGTCTCGAACTCCTTACTTCAAGTGAGTGATCCACCCACCTCCTCCTCCCAAAGTGTTGGGATTACAGGCGTGAGCCACGGCGCCCGGTCCCCCGAAAAATTTTTTTTTTTTTCATGTAAAAACATTTATGCGATTTTTACTTCTTTATTACTGGGCAGCTACAGGTTCTTGTGATTTTCTCTCTCGCATTCTCCTCTCCATTCTGATACATCTCCCATCTTCTCTGCATCCAGTCGGTGCCCTCTGACGGGCATCCTGGGCTGTCCCTTTGTCTCGTCCTGGTCTCCTCTGTTCACCTTTTCCCTTTTGACTCCCCTGCCTCTTTCCCGCTCCCGCCCCACCGACTCCATCTACTGAAGCCGAGTTGAGTGAGAGGAGAGCAAGCGGAGCAGATGATTGCCTGAAGGCGGCGCAAAAAAAACAGAAAGAGCTACCAGGAGAGCCGTCGGGGCGTTCAGCTTCCCTTGGGCCTTACTAGGCTCAGGGTGGGGTCGCAGATCCAGGCATTTCCAGATGCACTGGCTTCTGAAGCAGGCGAGGGTCAACGCAGGGTGAAGGCCATTCGGCCGCTCTTCTGGTTTCAGAGTCACGCAATGCAAGCGTTTCTAACGTGCAACAACACGATTAGTCGACTCAGCCTCTCCGGTTTTCCGAAACTTTGTAGTCTGCACACTTGTCCTGCAGAAAGCGAATGGCAACCCCTAGAGGTTAGTGATTGCTTAATCTATGTTGACATAAAAACGAACAATCGAGGTTGTCTCTGTGGCGCAATCGGTTAGCGCGTTCGGCTGTTAACCGGAAAGTTGGTGGTTCGAGCCCACCCAGGGACGTAATTTTAAATGTTGGTAGTTGCGGTCAGGTGCGGTGGCTCACGCTGATTAATCCCAACAGTTTGAGAGGCCGACATAGCGGAAGCCTCGCCTGAGCTCAGAAGTTCAAGACCAGGGAGAATTCCATCTCATTAAAAAAAAAAAAAAAAAAAAAATTGCAGTTATTTCTCCTCAGGCCTATGACTGTATTTAAAAGCGAGAGACTGTTCCCTTGTGTCTTGTGCATCCCATAAGGACACAAAGCAGAAGGTCCCTCTCCGAGCCTCCTAGAAAATAAGATCCCTCCAGAACAAACTAGGTTGTATGTATGGGAACCTGAAAGTATACGAAGAAAGAAACTTCAAAAATTCTGCCTTGCTTTCCACAAAAATTAACCCATCACAGTCTGCCTTCAAGTGGTGTCGTACCTCTTCACATTACTCCTCTCTGCATTTATGCTATTGTCATGCATTTTACTTTACACGTGTTATAAACCTTACAATCCATCTTTATTACTTTTATTTAAAGAGTCAGATGTGTTTTTGGGTTTTTTTTTTTTTTTTGATGTTTTTAAGACTAGTCTCACTCTATTGGACAGGCTGGAGTGCAGTGGCACAATCTTGGCTCACTGCAACCTCTGCTTCCCGGGTTCAAGCGATTCTCCTGACTCAGACTCCTGAGTAGCAGAGATTACAGGCATGAGCCACCATACCCGACTAATTTTTGTAATTTTAGTAGAGAGGGGGGTTCACCATATTGGCCAAGCTGGTCTCAAACTCCTGACCTCAAGTGATCCGCCTGCCTCGGCCTCCCAAAGTGCTGGGATTACAGGCATGAGCCACCATGCCTGGCTAAAGAGTCAGATGTTAAAATTATAGATTTGCCTATGTAGATGTCATTTCTAGTGGTTTTTCTTTTCTTTTCTTTCTTTTTTTTTTTTGTACATCCAGATTTTCATCCGGTGTCAGTTTCGTTCTACCTGGAGGACTCTTTAAATTTTTTTTTTTGTGTGGTGTAGGCTGGTGGTAGTGAATTTTCAGCTTTCGTAGAATTTGACATTGACATTTTCCCCTCAGTGCTTTTAAGATGTTGCTCCACTGCCTTCTCACTTGAATGACTTTCAATGATATAATCTTTCTGGTTTTTGTAAGTACTACGACTTTTTCTTCTGATTTTGAGATTTTTTTCAATAAATTTGAGCAATTCATTTATGAAGTGCCTACTAAATATGGTTTTCTTCAGGTTTCTTGTGCTTGGGGTTTATTCACCTCCTTGGATAAGTAGGTTAACAATTTTCACTATGATTGAAAAATGTCATTGTTTCTTAAATACATTTTTCTTCTTCCCCAGTCTTTTTGGGAACTACAATTACTTGTCTATTAGGTGTCTTAAACTTGCACTATCATTCACTGATGCTCTGTTCATTAAAAAAACAAAAATTGTTACCATGAGTTGTATTTTAGATATTTCAATCATTCGAGAATTTGTGTTTCTTTTTTTTTTTCTTTTTTTATTTTTTTGAAACAGAGTCTCACTCTGTCGGCCAGGCTGGAGTGCAGTGGCATGATCTTGGCTCACTGCAAGCTCCACCTCCCGGGTCCACGCCATTCTCCTGTCTCAGCCTCCTGAGTAGCTGGGACTACAGGTGCCCGCCATGAGGCCTGGCTAATTTTTTCTATTTTTTTGTAGAGACGGGGTTTCACTGTGTTAGCCAGGTTGGTTTCGATCTCCTGAACTTGTGATCCACCTACCTCGGCCTCCCAAAGTGCTGGGATTACAGGCATGAGCCACTGCACCTGGAGGCTTTGTGTTTCTTAATCTTTTTTTCTGCAGTGTCTAATCTGCTGTTAATTGCTTCCAGTTAATTTATTATCTCAAATGTTGTAGTTTTTAATCTCCAAAGTTAGATTCTGACCATTTTATATGTTCGATGCCTCTGCTTAATTCTTTGGACCCATAGAATATTGTCATAATTATCATAATAACTGTTTTAAAGTCCTCTGTGTTCTTTTTTTTTTTTTTTGAGACGGAGTCTCTTGTTGCCTAGGCTGGAGTGTAATGGCACGATCTCAGCTCACCGCACCATCTGCCTCCTGGGTTCAAGCAATTCTCCTGCCTCAGCCTCCCGAGTAGCTAGGATTATAGGCATGCACCGCCATGCCCAGCTAATTTTTGTATTTTTACTGGAGAAGGGCTTTCACCATGTTGACCAGGCTGGTCTCGAACTCCTCACTTCAGGTGATCCACCTACCTCAGCCTCCTAGAGTGCTGGGATTACAGGCATGAGCCACTGCGCCTGGCTGTCCTCTCTGTTAATTCTAACATCATGTTAGGTCTGGTTCAATTTTGATTAACTGATTATTTCTCCTCTTTATGGGTCATCATTTCCTGGCTCTTTGCCTATTTGGTATTCTTTAATTGGACGCAGGACATTGTGAAGTTTACCTTTTTGCATGCTAGCTATTTTTAAATTCCTTTTTTTCCCTTGCCAGTAGGAAGTTATATTTTATAATTCCTATAAATCGTCTTGAATTTTTTCTGGGGTGCACTTAAGTGACCTGTAAACAGTTGGATCCTTTTGGATCTTGCTTTTATGAACTTTTACGTGGTTCAGGAGTAGTGCTCAGTCCAGGGCTGATTATATCCCGTTACGAAAGCATTATGAATTGTGAATAATTCCAGTCTGACTGGTGCGAACAGATACTGTTTTCTGCACTGTGTGAGTACCAGACGCCATTCCATGATTTTCTTGGATGTTTGTTTCCCTGGTACTAGTCAGCTACTCTTTTCACAATCATGCACTGACTAGTGCTCTGCTGAATACTGGTGGCAGAACCTGTACATATGCCCAGATTCTCTCTGCTTAGTTATCTTCTCACTGGATCTTTGTCCTATGAACTCTGTCTTGCTCTCCCCAGACCCTTAGCTTCACTTCCTCAATTCAGGGAGTCTGCCACCGAGCCTTTCCTTTGTGCCTAGCCTGGAAACAATTCTGCACCAGGCTGGCATTCCCTTCCATCCCACATGGAACTGGGGGTTCAGTGTAACTGAAAACATTTGGGCCATTACATTCAGTTTGAACCAGTTGATTTGCATGTCTGTAAAGGAGTTTGGAAAATGAACCCTAGGGCTAATGTGAATGGTGGACAAAATCAGATCTAGAAGTACTGAATGTATCATAAGCTAAGCAGAATTTTTTAAACTAACAGCATTAGTGATTCAGGTGGAATTTCTTCCTCTTCCCTAGGTTCAGTTTCTGGCGAAAGCATGTAGTTTGTTTTGTTTTGTTTTGTTTTCTCACTGTCAACATAACCTCATTTGTTGCATCTGTTGGAATGTTTATTACTCACTTGGTGAGTCTGGTCTACATAGAGATTCAGCATCCAGGAGCAGGGCCACTGTGAGCCTGTCAGTCAAGGAAATGTGGGAAAGAAAAATCCCATTGGGGTTTATTTATTTGTTTGTTTGTTTGTTTATTTATTTATTTGTAGAGGAGTCTCACTCTGTCGCTCAGGCTGGAGTGCAGTGGTGTGATCTCTGCTCACTGCAACCTTGGCTAATTGCAACC